GGAGATTAATCGTGATTGACGAGCAGCTCATTACCCAGAGTCCATTGGGAAAGGGGGGGTGGTAATAAAGAACTAGATTGCCAGACAAAAGATCTTCCTTTTTCTTTCTTTCTTTTTTTTTTTTTTTTGTATCTTTTTATCCGACTCCTGCCCTGACCTTCCCGGCTGCTTTGTAGGTCAGGATGGGATTATCCCTAGAAATCCCTCCCACGCTGCCAAGTTGTTCAATAATTTATTTGGCGGTACAGGATGGGGGTGATTGGAGATCTGCCAGATCTCAGTATGGATCTGATCCACTCACGGCGCACGGAGACGTTCGGCTCCAAATTTGACCCATACCAATCGGCTCGCAATCTGCTTTTCCAGCTCATGCGTGGCTGCAACTCCAGCCAAAAGAGTTTGTACAATCTGTTGGAAGAGGCGAAGAGGGAGGCTTCCCAAATATGCAAAATAGCCGATTTCAATCTGTGCGATACGACAAATGTGCAGATGTCCCGGGTACAAGGAGATACGGAGCTTGGGGGAAATCATGCAAAAATTTGTGATTTTTTTTTTTACCCTCCCCTCGTGAGAGCAGCTGTTGAAATTAGTTTTATTCCCCTGCTTAGAGCACACACAGCCAGGCACACAGCATTTTTGCCATTCTTCCATTGGTTCCAAATGTAGCACCCTCCTGTGGAAGCCAGGGGGAGTTAGTTGATTTTTTTTTTAGTTAGATGCCGAGTTTGGTCAGGGCTGAGAGGCTCTGTAGACCAGATCTCTGGAACTTCCCCCCTGGAGAAGTCTCTAGAACTCAGTGGGTGGGATGAGGAGTGGTTGGTCTGCATTCTCAAGGGATTCGGACCATTCCCCAAGCAGGAGGCTTGGCATGGGGTCAGGACAGCCCTTAAGAGTGACCGAACCTGCTCAGTAGAGGGAGAGTTCAGGTGGAAGATGGAGTGTGGAGTTTGGGAGGGGGTCCAGGAGAGGGGCCAACCTGCAGGCAGAGGAGCTGTAAGGGAGGATCTCTCAACCTCATTGTCCCCTGAGAAAGGACAGCCTGGGAAGCATTGAAGGAGCCAGCCCAGAGTAAGGCCTGAAGGCAGCCACCAACCCACAAGCTTGCAGGAGAGACACTTGGAGAAGTCTCTAGAATTCAGTAGGTGGGGGTGAGGAGGAAGCTGCTTTGCGCTCTTAAAGGATCCTGGCCAGTTCCCAAGCAGGAGGCTTGGCATGGGGTCAGGACAGCCCTTAAGAGTGACCGAGCCTGCTCAGTAGAGGGAGAGTTAAGGTGGAAGATGGAGTGAGCAGGATGGCATGAGGAGCCTGGGAGGGGGTCTAGGAGAGAGGCCAACCTGCAGGCAGAAGAGCTGGAAGGGAGGATCTCTCAGCCTCACCATCCCCCAAGAAAGGACAGCCTGGGAATCATGGAAGGAGCCAACCCAGCATAAGACCTGAAGGCAGCCACCAACTCACAAGCTTGCAGAAGAGAGACTTGGAGAAGTCTCTAGAACTCAGGGTGTGGGGGTGCGGAGGAAACTGGTTTACGCTCTTAAAGGATCCTGGTCAATCCCCAGGCAGGAGGCTTGGCATGGGGTCAGGACAACCCTTAAGAGTGATGAGCCTGCTCATTAGAGGAAGAGTTCAGGTGGAAGATGGAGTGAGCAGGATGGTGCATGGAGCCTGGGAGGGGGTCCAGGAGAGGGGCCTACCTACAGGCAGGGGAGCTGGAAGGGAGGATCTCTCAGCCTCATCGTCCCCTGAAAGAGGACAGCCTGGGAAGCAGGGAAGGAGCCAGCCCAGCGTAAGACCTGAAGGCAGCCACCAACCCACCAAGCTTACAGGAGAGACTGAGCGAGTAATCCCACACCCTCTGGGCCAGATACGGGGAGATATCATTCTGGTGGGAAGCCTGAGTAGCCCCCTTCAGGGACTGCTGATTTTAAAGTGGCAGATTTTGGGACCTCTTGGCCAGGGATTCTCTCAGGCAGCTGGGTGAAGAGGAGGATTCATCTGGGGTCTGAGGAGGTACACAAGGAGAAGCTGGCTAGCTCTCCAAGAAGAGACAAAAAAACCCTTCTGACTACTCGTACATAGTTCCAGCAAGTTGTCCTCAGTTTTACAGTTCCTTGGGCATCCCATGTATCCTTCATCCCCATCCAAGTTATCATCCCTTAATAAAATCCAAAAAAAACCCACAAGTTCAAGGACTGATGCACTGGTGTTAAGTCATGTTGGAACAGGAAGAGGCCATCCCCAAACTCTTCCCACAAAGTTGGGAGCATGAATTTGTCCAAAATGTCTTGGTATGCTGACGCCTTAAAAGTTCAATTCACTGGAACTAGGGGGCCAAGCCCAACCCCTGCAAAACAACCCCACACCATAATCCCCCCCCCCCCCACCAAACTTTACACTTGGCAGAATGCAGTCAGGCAAGTACCATTCTCCTGGCAACCACCAAACCCAGACACGTCCATCGGCAGCTCCTAGGTCTGAGCACCGGGTGGAGCGGTAATTGAGGGAGGTAGTAGTGTCCTTGCACTTGCTGTCAAACACAGAGCCCTTCAGACTTCACACAGCTAACGTTACCAGCGATTTTAAAATGCCCAGTGTGCATGGAACCTAAGTGTCACTGGAGATGTCAGTGACAGTTACACCCCGGTCACATCAAGCCCAACTTTGAAATCATGCAACTTAGAGTGAAGTCACACAATTTCAAAGTCGGGTGAGATGCCGATTTCAAGTGCGATTTGCAAGACATCTGACACAGCTGTCTTTGCAAATCACACCGAAAGTAATGCATGTACTACTTTAGAAATCGGTGCGGCTCTGACCAAGTCGGAAACGCACCGATATGACCGATGTAATTGCGGAAAATAGGGAGTGACTTGGCATGTGATTTGTCAAATGACATTTCTTCTGCTTCTTTTTCTTCTTCTTTCTTCTTCTTCTTTCAGGTCACGGCCCATGCGCAGATTTTTTATCGGTAAAAAGATCGATCGGCCGATTTGCCCATCATTGCCGCAAAAATCGTCCGATCGGCAAAATCGCCCAATTTTTTTCGAACTTTACCGAATAAAAAAATGTGCCAAAATCCAGAAAAACGGCCGACCAATTAACCCATTAACGGTGCACAAATCGGCCGATTTTCGACCCATCTATGGCCTGCATTAGTCAGACTGCCCGCTACACTCTCACTGTCCCACTAGAAGTCGATGATCAGCGCCATTACTAGTATTAAAAAAATAAAATAAATTCCAGTATATATCCCATAGTTTGCAGACGCTATATTGTTCTCGCCAACCAATCAATATACACCTATTGGGATTTTTGATTTGTACCAATGTAGCAGTTTGGGCAAAATTTCTGAAGAAATTACATTTTTATATATTTTTTTATTGGATATACATTGTGCCTTGCTGGTCCTTATGGCTTGGTGCCTCTGATTACGGGGCTGGAGAGAATCGGTCTTGGAGCGTACCGCGGGTACAGCTATAAATACTAATATCTGAACATTGGTGGCCGGCAAAGAGAGCAATCCAGCCACTTAAAGGAACAAGAGATAGGATGGCTACACTCCAGATATCGGCTGCGGCACAGCGTGGGTGAGCCATGATACAAATACGCTGACGGCATGCATTGGCTGCTGTTTGACAGTGACGTCATTGTGTCAGAGTGCCTGTTAAAGTGGTCCTAATACCAGATATACAACTTCATGTTTGCTAAGTAATGTGTAAGTGGTCTCCAAACTGCATCCCCGTGGGTGTGGACCTTCGCTTGCCTTTATCTGACCCTTGGGTCAGGGGCGTATTTACCACAAGGCAAACAAGGTATTTGTCTAGGGCGGCATTTTTCAGGGGAGCAGCCCCGCCCCCCCCCCCCCGAAAGAAGGTATGAAAGAAAGGAAACACGCAGCATGGTGACCAGGTGGGATCAGAGGGAGGTTGTGGGCTTCTTGATGGTGTATGCAGAGCCTGACTCTTGTTTCTGGGAATGTCCGGAGCTGTGAAGGTGAGTGTCTATCCCTGGCCATGGGGGTGGGGGGGGGGTGGTGGTGTGGAAGACTCTCTTGGGTGGCTTGGGTGGGGGGAGGGCTTGGGTGTTGTTGGTCAATGACAGGCTCTCTTCATGGGGGAGGGGGGGGTGTTGGTCTGTGTCAGGGTCTCTCGGTGGTGGTGGTGGGGGAGAGCTGATCTTTGTGTTGCCTAGGGCAGAACAAAACCTTAATACACCACTGCCTTGGGACACTATTCCTCCCACTGACACCAGCGGTGGGGCACTATTCCTTCATCTGACACCAACGATGGGGCACTATTCCTTCCCCTTACATCAACGATGGGGCACTATTCCTTCATCTGACACCACTGATGGGGCACTATTCCTCCCCCTGACACCAACGATGAGGCACTATTCCTTCATCTGACACCAATGATGGGGCACTATTCCTCCCCCTGACACCAACGATGAGGCACTATTCCTTCATCTGACACCAACGATGGGGCACTATTCCTTCCAATGACACTAATGGGGAACTATTCCTTCATCTGACTCCAACAATGGGGCACTATTCCTTCCACTGACACCAATGGGGGGCACTTCCTTCATCTGACACCAACATGGGGCACTATTCCTTCCACTGACACCAATGATGGGGCTGTATTCCTCCCACTGATTCCTATTCCTCCACTGATACCAATGATGGGATACTATTCCTCCACTGATACCAATGATGGGGCACTATTCCTCCCACTGATACCAATGATGGGGCACTATTCCTCCCACTGATACCAATGATGGGGCACTATTCCTCCCACTGATACCAATGATGGGGCACTATTCCTCCCACTGATACCAATGATGGGACACTATTCCTCCCACTGACACCAATGATGGACACTATTCCTCCCACTGACACCAATGATGGGCACTATTCCTCCCACTGACACCAATGATGGGGCACTATTCCTCCCACTGATACCAATGATGGGGCACTATTCCTCCCACTGATACCAATGACGGGGCACTATTCCTCCCCCTGACACCAATGATGGGGCACTATTCCTCCCACTGACACTAATGATGGGGCACTATTCCTCCCACTGATACCAATGATGGGGCACTATTCCTCCCACTGACACCAATGATGGGGGCACACTATTCCTTCACTGATACCAATGATGTCACTTCATTCCGGTCTCCCACTGATACCCTGATGTCACCCTGCATTCAGTAATCCCCGGTCTCCCCGGACCCTGCATTCACTTTATCTGGTCTCCCCCCGGACCCTGCATTCACTATATCTGGTCTCCCAGGACCCTGCATTCACTATATCCGCTCTCCCCGGACCCTGCATTCACTATATCTGGTCTCCCTGGACCCTGCATTCACTATATCTGGTCTCCTGGACCCTGCATTCACTATATCCGCTCTCCCCGGACCCTGCATTCACTATATCTGCTCTCCCCGACCCTGCATTCACTATTATCTGGTCTCCCCGGACCCTGCATTCACTATAACTGCTCTCCCCGGACCCTGCATTCACTATATCTATATCTGTCTCCCGGACCCTGCATTCACTATAAACTGGTCTCCCCGGACCCTGCATTCACTATATCTGGTCTCCCGGACCCTGCATTCACTATATCTGGTCTCCCGGACCCTGCATTCACTATATCTGGTCTCCCCAGACCCTGCATTCACTATATCCGGTCTCCCCGGACCCTGCATTCACTATATCTGGTCTCCCCCAGACCCTGCATTCACTATATCCGGTCTCTCCCCGAACCCTGCATTCACTATATCTGGTCTCCCGGACCCTGCATTCACTATATCTGGTCTCCCCCGGACCCTGCATTCACTATATCCGGTCTCCCCGAACCCTGCATTCACTATATCTGCTCTCCCTGGACCCTGCCTTGCATCACTATATCCGGTCTCCCGGACCCTGCATTCACTATATCTGCTCTCCCCCGGACCCTGCATTCACTATATCCGCTCTCCCCGGACCCTGCATTCACTATATCTGGTCTCCCCGGACCCTGCATTCACTATATCTGGTCTCCCCAGGACCCTGCATTCACTATATCCGGTCTCCCCAGACCCTGCATTCACTATATCTGGTCTCCCCGGACCCTGCATTCCTATATCTGGTCTCCCCCCGACCCTGCATTGACTATATCTGGTATCCCCGAACCCTGCATTCACTATATCCGGTCTCCCCGGCCCCCACATTCACTATATCCGGTCTCCCCGGACCCTGCATTCACTATATCTGGTCTCCCCAGACCCTGCATGCACTATATCCGCTCTCCCCGGACCCTGCATTCACTATATCTGGTCTCTCAGGACCCTGCATTCACTATATCCGGTCTCCCCAGACCCTGCATTGACTATATTCGGTCTCCCCGAACCCTGCATTCACTATATCCGGTCTCCCCGGGCCCCCACATTCACTATATCCGTCTCCCCCGGACCCTGCATTCACTATATCTGGTCTCCCCAGACCCTGTATTCACTATATCTGCTCTCCGCAGACTCTGCATTCATTATATCAGGTCTCCACGGACCCTGCATTCACTATATCTGTTCCCCACGGACCCTGCATTCACTATATCTCGTCTCCCACAATACACACAACATGGAAATGCAATTATTTTAGTAAATATAAACTGCTAAAAACTTTTTCTCATCAGCAGTTAGAGTCTTGTGACTTCTATCAATGTCCAGCAGAGCACTGCTTAAAGCTTGTAGAAGGAGTTGTCTTTCTGCTCTATGAGGATGCAGAACCCCTGACCTGGACAGTGCTGATTGGCGCTGTGCAGATCACATGCACTCACCCAAGAAAAAAAGAAAACCTCTCTAGCAATACACACCAAACTGAGCATGTTGCAAAATGCCTACGGTTCAGTCTGTCTTATCAGGAGATAAGTTGTGGACATTTGAAAGAGAGGAGGATCAGAGAAGACAGGATCAAACAGCCTTTTTACACAATAAAAAGGATTAACCCCTTAGGTTCCACAGTGAGTATAACAAGCATGCTTTACTGCATATACAGACTGATTGTACTGTTGTGGGTTTAGGAACACTTTAACCCCTTTACGACTGCCCAACATATATGTGCAGCAAAAGGTTGTGCTTTAATGCCCACACACCGTGCATACGCGTTCCTGGATGTGTTTTTGCTGAGAGCGCGTTCACCGTGCACCCCCAGCACAAAGACCGGCCTTCAGTCATTCCGAATTACTGAAGATGTCATTCTGTGCCTGCGGTGCCACCGCTGCCTAGTGATATGAACATCAACAATGCGGCCCCACGTGCGCAGAATGACTGTACATGGTACACATCTCAGTAGGCTCATGTACGTCCATAGGAACATATATGTCCATATGAGATGCAGTACGGTTTATTTTTACGTACAATGATACCGACTTTTATTTTTGAAAGACCGTTTTAACAAAAATTCTTAGATAAATGATTTCTTGCTGACCTATAAGGCAAGCCTACACTAAATCAATCCTTTATGATTGGCCCCAGCGATCCTTGAAAAGAAGTCAATGTTGGAGTTCCCAAAAGACACAAGACACTGGGAGTTGTGCCGTTTTGGTTCCCCCAGGGTGCCACAAGTACAGGACACAATTTTCCCTGGATCGGTGACATGATTTGCCATGGTGCAGGCTGGCCAGCTGGCCAACAACTTGATAACAACCAACGACAGGTCATTTATTGCTGGGGTGTTAGTGGCCCCTCGGGCCTGCATGATGCTGATCCAGGGCAGGTTGCATGCAGAGCCATCCCCCAGCATTCAGGAGAGGACAGAAGTCCACCTCCTTCAAAACTGCTCCACCTTCTTCCCTTTGACTCGCTACTGCTGCCACAAGGTAGGAGTCAGATATGAAGAGGGGACTGTGTTACTGAGGGGCTCTGTGATTGGGGGGATCGTGTGATAGGTGGCTCTGTGACTGGGGGACTTTGATGTGATGAGGTTACTTTGTCATGGAGTTACTCTGATGTGATAGGGGCTCTCATGTATACAGTATGGCAGCCTCTGATGTGTAGGGGAACTCTGATGTGAAGGAGGGCATTTGAAGTGAAAGAGGAACTCTAATGTGATGAGGAAATCTCTTACATGATGGGGGCCACTGACATAAAGAGGGGACTCTGATGTGAAGGAAGGAGCTCGGATGTGATGGAAGGACTTCTGATGTAGTGGGAGGACCTCTGATGTGAAGGGAGGACCTCTGATGTGAGGGAGAGACGTCTAATATGCTGGGAGAACCTTCTGATGTGACAGGGAGACCTCTGATGATATGGGAGAACCACTGATGTGATGACCACTGATGTTATGGGAGGACCTCTTGTTTTATGGGGAGACATCTGATGGTATGGGAGGACCTCTGATTTGACAGGGGGACCTCTGATGTAATGGGAGGACCTCTGATGTGAGGGGGAGACCTGTAATGTGCTCGGAGGACCTCTGATGTGAGAGGGAGACCTCTGATGATATGGGAGAACCTCTGATGTGATGACCACTGATGTTATGGGAGGACCTCTTGTTTTATGGGGAGACCTCTGATGGTATGGGAGGACCTCTGATTTGACAGGGGGACCTCTGATGTGATGGGAGGACCTCTGATGATGGGAGTCCCTGATGTGATGGAGTCCCTCTGATGTGACGAGAAGACCTCTGATGTGATGGGAAAACCTCTGATGTTATGAAAGAACCTCTGATGTGATGGGGAGAACTCTGATGTCTTGGGAGGACCTCTGATTTGACAGGAAGACCTCTGATGTGAATGGGTGACCTCTGATGTGATGGGAGGACCTTTGATGTGATGGGCAGACCTCTGATGTTTTGGAAGGACCTCTGATTTGACGGGGAGACCTCTGATGTGATGTGAGGACCTCTGATAAGATGGAGAGACCTCTGATGTGATGAGAGAACCTCTGATGTGACGGGGAAGACCTCTGATGTGATGGGAGAACCTCTGATGTGATGAAAGGACCTCTGATGTGACAGGGAGACCTCTGATGTGATGGGAGGATCTCTGATTTGACGGAGAGACCTCTGATGTGAATGGGTGACCTCTAATATGATGGAGGGACCTCTGATGTAATGGGAGGACCTCCAATATAATGGGGAGACATCTGACATGATGGAAGGAACTCTGATGTGAGGGGGGCACCTCTGATATAATGGGGGAAACTCTGATTTAAATGGGAGGACCTCTGATGTGATGGGAGGACCTCTGATGTGATGGGAGAACCTCTGATGTGATGGGAGACCTGGGATGTGATGGAAGGACCTCTCATGTGATGGGAGGACCTAAGATGTTATGAGGGGATCTCTGATGTAATGGAAGGACCTCTGTTGTGAAGGATGGCTTCTGACATGAAGTTAATTTCATCAAGATGGTTGTGTGCATGGGCTCATGTTTCCTATGGATAAGTAACATTTATGTTTTTTACATTTTAGACTTGGATTCCTCCAGATTCTGCAAACCTTTAAAGGAATATGTGACTGAAAAGAAGGTAGAAATCACAGATTTAGACCATCACCATGACCCATATCTGAAATATCAGCTTTGGGTAGTCTAGCCATATACAGTGGGGATCGAAGGTTTGGGCACCCCCAGCTAAAAATTTGTATTAATGTGCATAAAGAAGCCAAGGAAAGATGGACAAATCTCCAAAAGGCATCAGATTACAGATTAGACATTCTTATAATATGTCAACAAAAGTTAGATTTTATTTCCATCATTTACACTTTCAAAATAACAGAAAACAAAAAAAAATGGCGTCTGCAAAAGTTTGGGCACCCTGCAGAATTTATAGCATGCACTGCCCCCTTTGCCAAGCTGAGACCTGCCAGTGTCATGGATTGTTCTCAATCATCGTCTGGGAAGACCAGGTGATGTCAATCTCAAAGGTTTTAAATGCCCAGACTCATCTGACCTTGCCCCAACAATCAGCACCATGGGTTCTTCTAAGCAGTTGTCTAGAAAACTGAAACTGAAAATAGTTAACGCTCACAAAGCTGGAGAAGGCTATAAGAAGATAGCAAAGCGTTTTCAGATGTCAATATCCTCTGTTCGGAATGTAATTAAGAAATGGCAGTCATCAGGTACAGTGGAAGTTAAAGCAAGATCTGGAAGACCAAGAAAAATATCAGACAGAACAGCTCGCAAGATTGTGAGAAAAACAATTCAAAACCCACGTTTGACTGCACGATCCCTCCAGAAAGATCTGGCAGACACTGGAGTTGTGGTACACTATTCCACTATACAGAGATACTTGTACAAATATGGTCTTCATGGAAGAGTCATCAGAAGAAAACCTCTTCTACGTCCTCACCACAAAAATCATTGTTTGAACTTTGCAAATGAACATATAGACAAGCCTGATGCATTTTGGAAACAGGTTCTGTGGACCGATGAGGTTAAAATTGAACTTTTTGGCCGGAATGAGCAAAGGTACGTTTGGAGAAGAAGGGGCACAGAATTTAATGAAAAGAACCTCTGTCCAACTGTTAAGCATGGGGTTGGATCAATCATGCTTTGGGGTTGTGTTGCAGCCAGTGGCACAGGGAACATCTCACGAGTAGAACGAAAAATGATTCAATAAAATTTCAGCAAATTTTGGATGGTAACTTGATGCCATCTGTGAAAAAGCTGAAGTTAAAGAGAGGATGGCTTCTACAAATGGATAATGATCCTAAACACACCTCGAAATCCATGGGGGATTACATCAAGAGGCGTAAACTGAAGGTTTTGCCATGGCCTTCACAATCTCCTGACCTCAACATAATTGAAAATCTATGGATAGACCTTAAAAGAGCAGTGCGTGACAGACAGCCCAGAAATCTCAAAGAACTGGAAGACTTTTGTAAGGAAGAATGGGCAAAAATACCTCAAACAAGAATTGAAAGACTCTTGGCTGGCTACAAAAAGCGTTTACAAGCTGTGATACTTGCCAAAGGGGGCAGTACAAGATATTAACTCTGCAGGGTGCCCAAACTTTTGCAGACGCCATTTTTTTGTTTTCTGTTATTTTGAAAGTGTAAATGATGGAAATAAAATCTAACTTTTGTTGACATATTATAAGAATGTCTAATCTGTAATTTGATGCCTTTTGGAGATTCTTCCATCTTTCCTTGGCCTCTTTATGCACATTAATACAAATTTTTAGCTGGGGTGCCCAAACTTTCGATCCCCACTGTATACCAAAAGCTGTAGAGGTTTTATAATGAACATAAGTCTTACTGTTGTGTTTGATAGCGTATGTGAAGAAGCAGACATGTTCTCATGAACAAAAAATCACCAAGAGCACCAGGAGTGAGGAAAATCATCTTCTCTTATTAGGATAGACAGAAGACTTGTATTTAGTGGAATGCTTGCTTTAATAACAGCTCTTTATAACCTCCATCACACAGTCACTAAGCATTATATACAAGTTTACCCAACATGAAAAG